GGTACTGGGAACTGAACTCACGACCTTGTGCTTGCCAGGCAGGCGCTTTGCCGCTGAGCTAAATCCCCAGCCCCTGCAGTCAGTTTCATACCAGCAATAACAGCCGGTGGTGACAGAGAGTGTACCATGGTCTTCCCTCTCTCTTTAAAATGACCCTAAAGGGAAGGATCATCTCCTTTTGGAAATGAGTTCCCAGGTTCAGAAAGGCAAAGTAGCTTACCCAAAATCCCTAGCCAGGAAGCTGTAGAACTGGGGCATAAAACCATCCTTACCCAACACTAGAGCCAAAAGTGTGTTTGCCGGCATTTGAGTGCCTCCCATGAGTTAGGTGCTCACGAAGCACTGGAGATTCCACCTCTTACGTGGCCTACAAGTTCCCTGCCCTCAGCGGACTTCCACGGGAGGACCAGGGATAGACACTGAAGTCTTAACTGGACATGTCAGTGCTGGTGGGTATCAGGATCAGCATGACTTGCTGCCCTAAGTTGCTCTGGAGGAGCAGCACCAGAGCTGGGAACTGACAAGCAGAGGCTTACGGCACAGCTGGCGCCCCTGGACATGCGAACCTCTGTCAGCCAGCAGGGCACACTTTCAGTCTCTGTGAAAATGGAAATCTGTTGGGAAATAGATAGCTTTAAAAGTTCCTCGCAGGCCATCCAGAGTGCCCCAGGGAGGACTGCCTGCTCTTCCCGCTAGTGTGAAGTGCCGGTGGGCAGCCCCCGCCCCGCAGTGTGCACCAGGCTTCCATGCGCTGAGGGGCTGAGCTACCCCCTTGTGCTTCCCCCACATCCAGCAAGCTGCCCAGCCTTGCTCCTTGTTCTTCCCAGAGGTTGCCTTCCGTGTGGGGATTTTCCTTCTTCTTTTTCATTGGCTTGCATGTTTTGATTCACTGGGGAGGGTGGTTCTGATTTTTTTTAATGGAAACCCATTTTTGGGGGAGTTTTATTCCTCAGTGAAATGATTTGGACACAGTGCCCATTTCCCTTATTCTCTCTCTCGGTCTTGTCCCAAGGTTGTATCTGTAAGGATACTTGGCCGTGCCTCCTGACAGGTTTCATGAGCCCGTTATCATTAAAAACTCTTCACTCAGCCCTTACGGTAACTGTTGCCACTTAACAGATGATGAAACGAAGGCTGAGAAGTGCCCCGGATGGTTGACACAGCTGGGAGGCACAGAAGCTGTGACTCAGCTCCTCACCTTCTCTTCTGCCTCTTGGGAAGGCCTCCCCTGCCTGGGAAGAAGTCCTGTGTTAAGTCTCAATGACCCATATTCCTGTGGGCTGTGACTTGACCACAATCTGCTCTGAAGGTGGATTCACCTTGAGAATTAAGAGGGGTGGCAGGTCCGTCCTTGCCTCTGGTGGGGGATCATTGTACACACCCCAATCCCTAAGGTCTGTGCCAGTGTGAACATCCCCAGCACATCAGTGTGCCACTCACCAGGAGAACGGAGGGGAGGAGAGCACCCGGGCGTCAGTGGCATGCACAGAAGAGGCAGGGAGCCCTTTATTCTCTCTTGTGCGGGTGCAGCAAGGCCACATTCTGGCGACGTGAGAGGAAACACAGGGCAGCAGAGGGATGGCACTTGAAGCTGTCATTGCAGACACCAGCGTCCTGAGTGACACCACCCACTGTGATCAGGGTGCTGAGGCCTGCTCCCAAGGCCACACTGAGGGGCTTCCCCAGCTGGACCACACAGGCTGAACCACCCCATTTCTGGGCTTAAAAGTTACAAAAACATCTCTTTTTGCTTTTTGTGTTTTAAATATCTTGATATGGTGCTCACCACCAGAAGCTCCATCCTCGGAGTGCTCTTGGGAGATTGTTGTTGGATATGTTGTAGCCTTGAGAGACCTGGAACCTGAGTTCTTTCCCCCCAGGTTTTGGAGCAGAGGCCTGCTTTGTCTAGGAGCCCTTGAGTGACACTAGCTGGGGGCAGCAGGTCATACCTTCCTGCCTTTTGTCCCTGTCCCTCCCCACCATTGTCCCATGCCCATGAGAAAACCCACTTGTCACCCTGTGAATGAAGCCACAGGCCTCTTCCACGAATTCTCCCACCTACCTTCCTTTTTGCCTTGGCAACTAGGGGCAGGCAGAGTCCCTCTCGGGAGGAGGTGCCGCACCCCATGCCACGTGAGGCCTGTTTGCTGCAGTTACTCTGGGCTGCTGCATGAGGGGCCAGGAAGATGGCCTGTGTGCCAGTGCTGGTGGGTGATGCTCGGGTGCTCAGGCAGACCCACCCCTGCCAGAAAGAAACGGCACCACCTCCGGAGCCAGACAAATACTACATTGTCCCTGGGAGAGGGCAGGTGAGCAAGGCTGCTGCTCCCGGGAAGAGCAAACCTGGTCTTTCCTGGTCTTTCAGTCCCTGGGTCCTGTTAAAGCGCAGCATTAAAACTGTGTTTGGCTCATACCGCTCCACCACCCACCCATCAAATAACTGAAAGCTGCCAGACGCCAGCCGTCTGGGGTCACAGTCCTCCCGTGGGGCATGCTGGGTTGTTGTGAACTTTCAGGGAGCTTTTGGTTTGTGGCCTAAACATCTCCATATACTGGGAAGGCCACCCTGGGCTTGCTCAACAGAGATGTGACAAACACACAGCAAACAAAGCCAGAGGCCTCAGACACCCTGCCCTTGCTAATTCAGGGGATCAGCAGACCTGTCCCTGGAAGCACTGGGTTCCGTCTCTGCTCATAACCTGTGAGCCCGTTAGCCTTGTCCTTCCTTCCTCCTTGAAGCCTTAAAAGATGAGTAGAAGGAGACAGCAGTGAATGTGAGGAGGCCTGGAGCTGAAACGAGAGCCAGGCCAGGCGGCCCCAACCCACACCAGCCCAGACATGGGGAGCACTCGGTCTCCACAGAAGGTTCTTGCCACAAGAGAAAAGATCCTATTCACAAGACCCTGAGGGAAGGCTGTATTCTATCCTCGGGCCCTGGCTTTGATCCCTGGGTCTGTGAAGACCTTGACTT